TTCTTGAATGGAGATTCATGACCACAGGTTGGGCACAGCAGAGGCGGACGAGCGCATCACGGCGTTGTGAACGACGTGCTTTAGCACGGCGGTGGGTTTATGCTTTTTTTTTTCCCCCCTTTAAAAAAATAACGTCAAACCCTTTATATAACACTGGCGTAGTGAGAGCGGGTGTCATGAGCCCCACCCACAATATCATGTCTCCAAAAAGGATTTATCCATTTGTTAATAGTTTCTTCTGTGTGCATCAACATCTAAGCAGCGTGTTACAAAATATAACAATAGGGCGAGGTTAGGTTAGGGTTAAGTATGGTAGTGAAAAGGGTAGAGAGAAAGAGCAAACGGAGTACGAAGAAATTCAAGACTGACACAAAGCCAGCTTTTATCCTTCCAGCACGGCTCTCACACTTAAGGATGTGGACAAAAAGGATGAAGAGAAGGAAAAAAAAGAAAGTGGAGAAGAAAAAGACCATATGAAGTTGGTTGAGGCGGGAGCTGGTGATGGCGTGGAATTGGGGGGGCGGGGTCCAGAAGGTAATTTGGCTACACTGACGGCCTCCAAAGGGAATAGTGTAGCACTGTGTACTGAAATATTAAGGCAAGGGCAGGCAAGCAGGTCGTTTCATAATCTGACTCATCCTTGATGCAGACAGGGCAATCAGCTGGGGAGATGGAAACCGTTCCTGCACGAGTGTTAAGGGAGGAGCGAGGCTGGACAGGAATAGGTTTGCCAGGGATTTCAGTTGGGCTAAATGGTGCACGAGCTTGGGACTCCGATGGATCTGTGACAAGGCATAAAAGATAAGGTAACTTTGCCTACTTGCCTTTGGAAACATTGTTGGATTAGGAAGGTATCCTAAAACATCAACTCCACCTAGCTGGGCTGAAAGGGTATTATTGTAGAGGTCGAAGTAGTTGAAGGAGGAGGAGGAGGGAGTGGTGCTGAGTGAGGTGCTACAATGGGGAGGTGGACACTCAAGGTGCAGAGTTGTAACATGGGAGATAGGGGTTGAAAATAGAGAAGACTGTAGAAGACGGATGGATGGTTATGTATGGACTAAACAGACAGCAGGTATCAGGGAGGGGGAAGTAATAGCAGTGTGCAGAGTCGTGATCAAAGGAGAATCAGGGATCATGGAACCAGAGTAGTTTATGTCATTGGGGCTAGTTGATAAAGGGGCAAGCCTCAATGCAAAACCATTACTAGCTATGGTAAGCCTGGAGTATGTGAGGAAGAAAACTATTTCACCTCATGGCTCCCAGGGGCCATTCAGGACTGACCTAAAGCCAGCCTTCATCCTTTCATCAAAGCTCTCTCAGGAAGTGAACCAAAAAAGGGGTTGGAGAAGAGAAGGTAAAGGAAAAGGAGAGAAGAAAGAAAATTGTTTGGGTCGAGCGCTGAGGCCCATGGTAAGGGAGGTCCCCAAAAATAGGCTTCAATCTCGGTTACCTAGGCTCCCACAACAACGAGCATGGAATGGAGGGGGGTAGAATACCTTAAGATAGTCAGGGTAATCAAACATTCTGTAAATAAAACATCAACACATTTATATTACATATTTACAAAATCAGACACTAACATGCATCCCTGATACAAGGTCAGAAGTAAGCACAGCACACCTCAGAGTGAAAAAGAAATCCTCCAAGTTCACAACTTTTTCTGTTTTTTCCAAATGCCACCTGTATTAACATTCATTGTATTCTAATAATTTCACCTTTGATAGTGATACTAATAACATTAAATAGATGCATCATAACTGAAATTTATTCTCAGAAGTTGCACTTTATCACTGAGGTAGATTTCTGGGAAAGCAGTCATGAATATATTTATTCTCTCTCCAGAAGTGGAACCCATTTTACTTTGCAGTCCATCAAGACTTCTTCTCTAGATAAGCTGTCCAGCAATGCAATCTGTAAGAAACAAAAATGGATGTAACTTTTACAGCATCATATTTGATAATCATAATAAATAAGCACCATTACTTTTTCTATTAATACCTAAAATGTTTATGAAAATATGAAACAAACACACACACATGTACGCACGCTGTGTAGGTGCAGTGCAGTACAGCTATTACATATTTCATACAGAGACAATCAGCAAGGAATGATCTAGTCTGATAGCTATGGGTTCAATAATTGTGCATAGTTCATGTTCATAGTGAAAATTTGGATTATAAAGCAAATAAATGAAATTTTAAATAGATAGTGAGGCTCTGTGAGCTGAGACGTGAGAGCAATGGTAAGGGAGGTGAGAAGTGACAAATAATCCTGTATGATAAGAATTTCACGCATCAACTGATGTGAGTACAACTCACTTTTTGTCTCTGTTTACTGAGTAATAACTAAGATCCAACCAGGAAAATAATGTTAGTGGAAGCAGCGGTTAGAAAAGAGGATCCTGAAGCCAAGGAAGACAACTTGGTAGCAGAATGATTGAAAATATATTAAGAAAACATATATTTGAAGGAATTGGTAGAACATTTGTGCAGGAACACAAGTATTCAGAGAGAGTATACTGAAAAGTTTGACATGTCAACTCAAGGTAAAGGTGCAAAGAGTAAAAATTAAGATTAGCAATAGTAGTCAAATCTAAGCAAAGAATCTTCAAGAAAAAGTTGATGAAGTAATTAAAGTACAGATAAATGTTAAGCAGATTAAAAGCAATTTGTCAAGCAGCCATGCTCAAATAATGGAAGAGGCAAAAAAGATGACAAATACATGTGGTGATGTATCAGAGGTAAAGGAAACCATAAATGTAATGGAAAAAAAGAAAAAGACATCAAGATCAAAAAGGAAGAAATAAAAACACAGCATACAGAGACAGTACAGAAAAAAAATATTGTCACACCTTGGGCAACACACAAGGGATTTGTTAATTTGACTGATATAATCAAGGATATATATAATGTCACATTGGGACATAAAAAAAGTGGTAGAAGATGGAATCAAATGATATTGCAAGGACAAGAAATTATTGCCAATATTCTCAAGCTCATAAATCCCAAATTCTCACAGCAGAATATCATAGCTCATAGGAGGTTGTGATTATTCGAAAAGGGAAAGAAACACCCTTTAAAAGCAACATTCAAGAATAAGCAAATGGTTACTGATGTAGTATAGAAAGCGTACGTCCTGGCCACCAATGTAGAATATAATAAAATCTAGATAAAAGAAAATATGACCAAAGATGACAGAGAAAACTTTAAATAAATAAATTTTTAAAAAGGCATAAAAAAAAGGATGAGGTAAAGAACAAAATGAACAAAGGACTGAAGAAGAAAAAAGTCTTGGAGAAAGATCTTCAAAGAAAACAAGTATACTATAATTATAATATCTGGAGAAAAGATAGACAAATGGAAATGGAAGGGGTTAGCAACAATAACAAAGAAAGGAATTGTTATAAAGGAGTTAGAGATTAAGTAAGACCCAAGAGTGGGACGAAAGGAAATTGAGGTAGAAACAAACAGGTTAAAGATAATATCCACAGTGTATATGCCACCTCATACATCAGTGTGGTCATAAAAAAAAAATACCAAAAACCATTTCAAGACACTAAAGAGCCTTGAAGAAGTGCTACAACTTTCTGAAACCAATGCAAAAGAAATTCTTATAACAGGGGATTTTAATAGAAAAACTGACAGAAATTTTGATCCTAGAACACAGCCACATTTGTAGAATGCTAATTTACTTGGTCATAAATGAGTATTGCCTCTTTCAAAATGTAACAGATCATACCAGGGTAAGAGAGCCAGATAGGCTGTCTATGTTTGACCTAATATTCACAAAGCATAAAATGATATCAAGGATATTGAGTACTGTCCTACTCTAGGAAAAGATGACCTAGCAATAATTAAACTAAAATACTATCTCTCTCTAGTTCTCCATTCTCTCTAGGTCTACTCTCTCTCTAGTTCTCTTCCCTCTCTAATTCTCCTCCCTCTCTAATTCTCCTCCCTCTCTAATTCTCCTCCCTCTCTAATTCTCCTCCCTCTCTAATTCTCCTCCCTCTCTAATTCTCCTCCCTCTCTAATTCTCCTTCCTCTCTAATTCTCCTCCCTCTCTAACTCTCAAAATCCCTAACTCTCTCCCTCTCCCTTAACTCCCTCTCACTCCCATACCCCTCCTTCCCTCCCATCTATTTTGTTAATCCCGGTACATGGAATTATGTTAGACTTTATTTCATTTCTTTACAATCCTTTGATTCCATCCTTTTTAACTACATGTGACCTCTTCAGTAGAGGACCTGAAAAAACTAAAATCAGTGGCTGACATTACAAGAAACAATATTAACAATTTTATTGGTTACAGGTGTTTGGAGCGAGGCATCTACAAGGTCCTCTTACTACTTTGTATCAAAAATATTGCATACAAATGACAGGATTTGTTTCTCATGAAGTCGGCTGATTTCGTACCTACTTAATCACAAAATCAATTTTCCACATCTTATCAAGCTCTCTACCTAGAGGACGAGTAAACACACAAGGGCTTCAAAACACTTAAAGCTAATGATAAGAGGCAACATGAAAATATTTAACAAATAATAGATATCTAGGAAAAAATTTTGATGACCAAAGACTGCTGATCATTATTGCCTACAAATAGGCAACATGAAAATATTTAACAAATAATAGATATCTAGGAAAGAATGCTGTAAGTCTGGCTCTCCTAGCTCCTCAGACACTTTGGCCTAACTGAAAGGGTGACAATCCCGATCTTGGGCCTGATTCTTGAGTTGAAAGTTCTCTACCTAGAGGACGAGTAAACACACAAGGGCTTCAAAACACTTAAAGTGGCTATTGAAACCTCTGCAGATGAGACCCCGGGAGAAGAGTTTTCAAAGGGTGTACACAATTCCAGTACAGGCAAATGAACTCTACAAAGAGCTTTCCAGGGAAGATCAATTCCTACATGAAGAGCTTTGAAACTGCAAATAAGTTACCAGAAGTACTTTCAAATGGCGAAACACTCAAGAAGAGCTCTTAAAGAATGGATGAACTCTTGCAAGAAGTTTTAAAAGAATATATAAAAAGGGCTTTCAAAATAAAGATAAGCTTGCACAAGACTTTCAAAGGATGGATTAGTTTTCACAAGAGCTTTCCATACATGGATATGCTTCCACATGAAGATCTTTCAATGGGAGGATGAACTTCCTGGGGAACAGCTCTCAAAGGATATTATCCAAAGGAGCTTTCAAAGGGCAGATAACTAAGTTCCTACTAAAAAAAAGCTTTCAGAGAGTGGATGAGCTCCTACATCAGCCAAGAACCATCCAATCCCAACAAAAAGATAAGCACTGCTGGGTTTTCTTGGCCACTGAAAAGCCATGAATAGCATTTGGATGTTATCAATAGCTAGAAATAAAACTGTACTTGTGCACATGCCAGTCAGTACATGCATGTGCTATATCCTGCCAGAAAATTAATCCCAAACTACTAACATACAGCATACTACCATTGGAAACAACTTAAATTACCTGTTTCCTAACATAATGCACACAACACTCCAGCCTCTCCGGATCTTCACACTTCTTGGAGAACAGCCTCCGCCACAGAGCACCCGCTAAAACACGGTCATCTTCAATCAGAGCTTCATCGTAGCCAAACAATGCCGCTTGGAATGAGGAGTTGATTGCTTCCATCTGTTCTTTTCGTATGCTTAAAGAAGCTGCCTGGAATAGAAGTTGGAAATGTGTTAAACTGAAATGGTGAACTAAGAGAAATTAAATAAATATGTATTTAGAAAGTTCTTGCCTCAAATCACTTTTTCCTGTCATGAGTGTCACGATTAGCTGCATTTATTCCATCTGAATTAGCATGCATGATAAGTACATCACAAAAATTATATATTGTATAAGGTTTCTGCACAAACGAGTTGCTGTATCGTCCTAAGAGCATCTTGGCAAAATATCTTGTATACATAAATATCAGTCAATTACCTCTACTTTCATTAAATACAGACAAATAATCTAAAAGGCTCTGAAGTAATATCACACGACATCAAGTATTGTTCTCCCCAATATATTCCAATTCATTTTTTTAGCATTTCAACTGAAGCCAATGCAACCAAACAACACAATACCTACCCCAAGCTTTTTCGATCTCGCATCTGCATCTTCCCACAATGCCTCTATGAGAGCATTTCTGGTGAACCTTCCTTCATTTCCCTCGGCCATTAGCCGCACCATCAGCATCCAAATGTGAAGCTCAGTCACCAAAAACCAGGAGAAAAATGTGTCTGGGAGATCACACACTGCAAAAGGAGTATGCACTTATAAACACAAAAGAAAGTAAAAGTATATTTTGTCCTGGAAAAAAAACATGATAAAAAAGCAACAAATATATATTCTAATTTTGCAAAAGTTGCTAATGTAACAATAAGTAACTAACAAACATATGTTAACTGCATCTCTTTTTTTTAATGAACACACACACACATACCACTTTCTCAAGTATTAGTTAACATAATATAGCTTTGTTAAAAAAAATCAATAAATTCAAAAAGATAAGTATGAAACTCACCCTCAAAAAATTCATCAACCCTCACTTTCTCAGTCAAGTCAGAATACAGGAGAAAACCAGACCTTTTCAGTTTCTGCAAACAAACACCTGTCATTAGTTTTCCCTCACATTATAAAATACAATGCTTCCCCCAATGAAGGAAAGAAAGCAATTACAAAGAAAAAATAATAATACATGTTTATCTTATCCTTACTGACAATAAATTAAAAACCAAAAGAAAAACTGTAAGGATAACTAGATAGAAAACTAGCCACCAATAAAAATCTACCTTTGCATATTTCTCTGTCTTTTGAAACTGTGACAAAGAAAAAGTTCTGCCAGATAGAAATAATTTAGTTTGACTTTAGCAATACATATTTTCTTATCCGAGTAGTCATATATAAAAGACATGCATAATATAAATGAGGCAAAATACAGGATATTTCCATATATACAAAGCCTCAGAAGAAAAATGCTTACCGTCCTTGAATATTTCAACAGTCCCATCTTTTTTATGAAGCGTTTGAACAAACTTGCATCTGTGCCTGAATATCTCTTGCTTGTGTACTGTGGCGAAGTGTTGGGAAGGTATGCAGCTGACCACAACGTATTTGTTATTACACTACTCTGAGAAACTTGAATGCACGTGCCAAATTTCTGCGATGATAGTGATGATAATACAGCGACATTTCTGGCTGGTTCAGTTATTTTTGTTGACTGCAATAATCTTGACAAACTGTTTCGTAGCATCGTTCCCTGCAACAGACATAGGAAAACAAACTAAGAACTGCTTAATCTTCATCAATTAGATATTTTCTTCCAAAAGAAAGTTCAATATCACACTGAATACTTCTATTCACTGGTCAAGTCTCCAAAGATACTTCAGCGGAGTTAGCATGAAAGCAAAATATATTCCCTAACAGAAAGCAAGTTAGTTGTCTGGAAAATGATCTATATATTCCTGTCATTTCATAATTTTTTTGAGAACAACCACACATCAGCAATGCCTCCACGAAAAGCCCCGTTCACAAGGCATCACCCAGCCATCAGGATATGGACTCCTGATATTAGACATTACCTGATGCCAGTGAGGTTTTTCACCAAGATCTTCCGCATGTGAATGGATTAATGATATAAAATAATTTGTAATAATATTTTGACTATCTAATTACATCTTCATTTACCTTCAACATTATGTTATCTAATTAGTTACAAAAAGAATTGCATTACAATTCTATACTCTATACAAAGATAAAATGTCAATATCATGATGAAAGGGGAAAAGTATACTCACTGATACATGAAATAATCTGAGCAGGCAAAGAATAAAGTCAGAAATGAAGAAAATAGGTTGTTACAATAGGTGCAATTGAAACAGGGAATATTGATTGCACGGTTGGCTGATGTGTAATAAATAAATGATTACCTTCAAACTTTGTGCAGGAATAACATGCTTTAAAGGACATACTCTGGTTTTGATCAGATAAACCTCCCACTCTGAACAATTATACAAGTCTATATATAGAAATCACAAGCACTTCCATTAATAATTAACCAAATGCCCGTCTTTCAGAAAATTATCTTTGTCTCATCTCTCTACTTACCTTACGTTATGGAATAATTTACCTTCAGTGTTGCTTCTGAAAGCTCTCCCTTTGCTATGCTGCTTACACAAGGTAATGAGAACCGGAAAACTAAATCCGGTTTCCGCAACCAATTTTATGGTGAAAATTTAATCACAGAGACAAAATAGAGATCGAATAACCTTCATATTATTCTTATAAGATATTTAGATCCATTCAATGAATGAAAGAATGAAGTTGGTCTAATATATGCTATATGCAAATCGATATTGCAAACCTTACAGAAGCGCTCAGTGTATTTGGTTGAATAACCGACCTAAAGAAATTATGCAATTCTTCGAGTTCGTTCATTTCCTAATGCTATAGCACATGCACTCTCCAAATGCACACACGCACACGGACAAATGTGTGTGTGAGTGTGTGTGTGTGTGTGTTGTGTGTGTGTGTGTGTGTGTGTGTGTGTGTGTGTGTGTGTGTGTGTGTGTGTGTGTGTGTGTGTGTGTGTGTGTGTGTGTGTGTGTGTGTGTGTGTGTGTGTGTGTGTGTGTGTGTGTGTGTGTGTGTGTGTGTGTGTGTGTGTGTGTGTGTGTGTGTGTGTGTGTGTGTGTGTGTGTGTCGTGTGTGCTGTGTGATGTGTGTATCTATCTATTTATCTATATCTATATATATATTTTTTTTATATACATAATATGATATTCTAATTATTTTGCACTTTTAGGATATAGGCATCGCGATGGACCGTAATATGAAAAGAAGGTTATAAAAGACCGGAGAGGCCTGATTGATTTAATTATCCATGAAATAGAAATGTACATAATGTTAGCTAATAACATGAAAGGGGGACGTGGCATGCACATGATAAATGCAGACGGTAACAGAGGGAGAACCTAAGGGGAAGGAGGAGGAGGAAGAAGAAGGAGGAAGTGAGGGATTGAGGTAGGAGGAAGAGAGGGAGGGAGGAGGAGGAAGAAAGAATCCAGTGAACTCAAGCAAAGGCAAGCGATGGGCGACAACGATTAAAGTGAAATGAATGAGAGAGAAAAGAGAGGAGGGAGGGAAGGGAGAGACTCCGAAGATGGAATCGAGGACGATTCCGAAACTCTTGTCTCACTTTCTTCAGTAAATCTAGTTTGTGTTTTGTTTTTGTTTTTTCTACCATAGTATCAACACGGTAGAGTGTTTTTTCCATTCATCCAGGACAGTCATATATAAGCAACTGCACCTGACTGGTGGGCCTGTTTTGAAACAAGGAAAATGGGGTTTGATGCTAAAATGTATAGTGTATTGTTCAGTAAAGATGATGTTAATGAGGATATAAATTCACCAATTGTTAGAATAACTCTGTGTGAGTGTGTGCATTTATATATATATATATATATATATATATATATATATATATATATATATATATATATATATATATATTATATATATATATGTGTGTGTGTGTGTGGTGTGTGTGTGTGTGTGTTGTGTGTGTGTGTGTGTGTGTGTGTGTGTGTGTGTGTGTGTGTGTGCTACAACCTCGGCTGAGCCCTCACAGGCAGAACCAAACCAGGCTGAAACTGAGCATTCGGAACAAGAGAGGCTGAGTCTACTCGGGCAAATCGGAGGCAAATCAACATACACCTCTCAGTAGACCCTCTACCAGCCTGGCAAAAAAATGAAGATGATCTCTCAGTGAGCGAGGACTTCAGCACGGAGTTGTCAGACTCCATGTCGGATGCCACCAGCACTGGGGCATCCGATTCTGGAGACGAATTCGTCGACGCTGTAAACGACATAGATGGAAGTGACAGTTACATCATGACACACACTCCAAGCATACTGCAGTGGAACATGAGTCGCTTTAATTCAAGATGTTCCTTTCTCCAAGCAATAGTGCGACCAAGTGTCATTGACACTGTCATGCCCCAGGAGACCTTATCAGAGGACTGGGTTCGTTTCTCAGGCTATCATGTCTATATATTGCGAAGTATATCTGGCACCAGATGCGCCATCCCCTTTGTCAGGGCAATTATCCCCTGCTCCTTAAAAGCCAATTCGCCGCACTGGGGAGATGGTGTCGAATCTCTTTCTGTTGAGATCCATCAGGTCGGGGTCCCTCCAGCTGCACAATGTAATACAGGAGATCAAATTGTAGGAGCTTGGACATGAGCCAGCTTTGCGTTACTGCAGCTCGAGACCAATTGATTATAGAAGCGGACGTCATTGCACACCACACATCATGGCTCTCTGCCCGAGACCAAATATGGCAGGCAATTCACATAGCTCACATGCTTGAGACATTCCCTGATAACGCTCTTCCCAACACCCACGAGCTAACGCATGGATGGGGAGGAGTCCAAGACCTCACCTTTGCCACTGTAATCCTGGTGGAGAGAATCAGTTGGTGTGCCAATGAAACTGTTACATTCAGAGGCGGGGCTTCCATGGTGGCGAGGGGGGGGGGGGGTTCTTGCCCCCTGCAATCTGATTGGCCACCCCGTGTGCCCCCCCCCCCCCATGGTTATTGACTCATCCTAATGCCCAAGGAATATAGAAGGAAGGTAGCGTCATCCCCAATGAGCTCTGCGGTAACACAACGAAATATGATTTTCCCTGTTTGTTTTGTGAGCTTCATGATATTAAGAAAAGATTCGCATGCTCAAACAAAAGTGCGGATTTCTGTTGCTCTCCTTATACTGATACTGATGATGAATAAACAATAAAAAACAATCCGCAATTGGAAACAATTTCTGTGTCCTAATTGGCTTGCTCTGGCGCCACTCTGGTGACGTCATAGCTCCGCCCCATTTTGACAGGTCACGTGAGCCGGGAAAGCGCGGATTATTCAAGTGTGTTGACATATATATATATATATATATATATATATATATATATATATATTATATATATATATATATATATTATATATATTATATATACATATATATACATATATATATATATATATATATATATATATATAATATATATATATTATTATATATTTATATGCATATAATATACACACCCTGCTTTGTCAAAATGGAGCGGGGTTAAGGCAGGCCGCGGAGACGAGATGCCAATAAGTCAGTTTCCTTCTGCTCCATATGCAAACACCTTATTTATAGCCTCCTGGCAGTTTCAATCATTGCATTACTGACGCTGCACATTAAGATGGAAGCAAAGCTGAAACCTCTATGTTAAGAATTCATGAAGGCTTTTATTAAAAAAAAAAAAAATGGAAGTGGTTCCACGGACTTTTTAAAAATGATAACTGCACAGAACAGGTTTTTATTCTATTTTTTAAATTCTATTTTATATTTATTGGCTTGGCCCGCTGTCTTAGAAACAACGAAACCCCACTCAGTGAAAACGTGGATATGCTTGAGGCCAGACTTGCCGATACCATAAATAAGGCAGATTCTCAGACCATTCCTAAAACTCGACCTTGATCCAGGAGTCACAGACATGAACCCTCGACAACCTAGCCCTTCTGAGGGAAGCTGTCTGGGATGCAACGGAAACTGCCAACTGAATCAGGCAGGAAAAGTGACCAGAATGGTGTGAGTCCTTCAGCCACCAGATCACTCTTTCAGAGCTGTGGAAATGGGTCAGGGAGACACCGGCCACTCAACCCCGAGATGCACACATCACAAAACCAAAGGAGTCAGGGAGGTACCACCCCATCTCTCTCCTCAACTGTCTTGGCAAGACAACTAAGAGGATGGTACTAAACCGGCTCCGATGGAAACTGGGACCCCCATATGAACACCTCCGAGGAGCATGGGCACAGCACACAACAAGCCACGCTCTTAAGCACAATCAGCATTGTCAATCTGTGGTATTATTCCTAGATCTGGAGAAGGCTTTAGGACAAGTAATTCCTCTTGCTATTTAGGACCATCATTCATAAGAGAATCAGTAGTAGACTTGGCATGGATTGGTGACTATTTCAGGAACAGAACAGCCAAAGTCAAATTCCAAGGTTCCCTTTCACAACTACTAGGCCACAGGGTGGGGTTCTCAGTCGAGCCCTTTTTAACAGCCTAATATTCTGCATCCTCAACATACACTTTCCAGAGGGGTGTAAGATCATCTCTTATGCAGATGATCTTGAAGTCATCACCACTGGTCGACACTGCCTGAGAAGAGCCCAGGGTGTCGTAGGACAGGGCTAAAGCTTTCTGCAGCCAAATCCAAGACCTTGGCTCAGAGACAATGTACAAGGTACAAGTCTGAGTGTGGTGGTTCGTTTACCAATACTTTGGGCTACGGGTCGACCGCACACTTTCAATCAAAAGGAGGTTGACCGAACTAAAGCAAGACTGCCCTGAAAGCAATGACGAGGACACAAAGTACTGAGCAATAACATGAAAGCGTGTCCTGTTGACCCCGAACACCGGGAGACTGGCTGCAGATCGCCCACACTGAAGACGCCGTGAAAGCAGGAATCCCAACCAGGAGGAAAGACGTGAAGAGACGTGAGGAAACGGTCGCAAGGGAGGCCCACGACGAAGGGAAGCGAAGCCGCCGCCGACGTTTCCCCTGAGAGCAACAGGTCGAGGACGGCCACCTCAGCCACAGCAGGCGCCGCGACCCACCACAGTCTACTGTGATCAGACAGAAAAAGAAAGAAAAATCAAGAGAGAGAGAGACTAAAGATTGGTAAATGTGTAATAGGATTTACTACCTATGATTATACATACATTTAGAGGTAAGAAATCCTAAAAGTCAGTGATATGTAGCAATATGTAATCCTAAACATTAAATTCTAAAAAAATATTCTATATGTGTACTAAAGAACATAGGTAGTAATTGCGTAATAGGATTTACTACCTGTAACATATATATAGATGATAAATCCTAAAACTTGATTACAGGTAGTAATAGGTAATCCTAAGAATTAATTCCTACATTTAATTTATGTGTAATAGAGAACATTGGTAGTAAATATGTAATAGGATTTACTACCCATAACTGGCATACTTATATAGGTAATAAATCCTAATCATTAATTATAGGCAGTAAAAGGTAATCCTAAAAATAAAATGTATAGCAATTAAGTAATATGATTTAACACCTATGATATATAATATATATATATATATATATATATATATATATTATATGTGTGTGTTGTGTTGTGTGTGTGTGTGTGTGTGTGTGTGTGTGTGTGTGTGTGTGTGTGTGTGGTTTGTTGTATGTATACAAAATTGATATATTTATATATATATATGATTAACACATACACACACACACGCACACACACACACACACACACACACACACACACACACACACACACACACACACACACACACACACACACACACACACACACACACACATATATATATATATATATATATATATAGATAGATAGATAGATAGATAGATATATCTGTGTGTGTGTGTGTTTATATATACATATTAATTATGGAAGTAATAGGCAATCCTCAAATTAAATCCTAAAGATTGATTTATGTGTAAGAAAGATAGGTAGTAAATGACTAATAGGATTCAATACCTATAATTGCATATGTGTGTGATGTATATAAATATATATATATATATATATATATATATATATATATATATATATATATATATATACACATATATATAGATAGATATAATTACAAGTAGGTAATAGGATTTACTACCTAGTAGCATAGTAAATCCTAAAAAAAGTAATTATAGGTAGTAATAATAGAAACTTTGCAGCTTGGCAACATACAAGACACTTGTAACTGGCCCATACTGGAATAGTAAATCCTATATTTGTTCAGCCTTGGTTTAACGTGCTGGTAAATGGCAGAATTTTTTTTTAAACAGGTCCATTCATCCATGAATATTTAAAAAGTCTGAACTGGATATTTGAACAAATCAAATGACCACAATGGAGGAGAAATAAGGTCATTTCCCTCTACAAAACGGCGTCTGCGCGAGATTTCATTGATCGTCGGACACAACTGCACGCACTCACCACGTGATTTCCCAGACGGATCCCAGATACCCTATTTCTGCCATTTAAATCCCAGAAGTTTTCGAAATGCGTTAAGCCTGTAGGGCAATTTAGCCTTCCAGAACTTCCGGAGTTTGTAAAATTGTTTTGTATTTGTCAAGGGAACCGTGAATTACAGGTGAATGTCGTTTGTTTCGGACGCGTGATAAACGTCGTACGATGTGGTGCCTTAAGCAGGTTGGATATTTCCCTGTCATTGCGAGGTTGTTGTTCGGTTTTGATCTGCTTGTGAATTGTATCAGTGCTCAAATAGATAGTACGCCATGACAGTATCAGTTAGATGTAATGCAAATTCAGAGAATAATTCCTTTTTTGAAAGATGTGTGGCAACTGAAATCAAAGTGACTAGATATTATTTTGGATTTTTTTTTCAAATTAAGATTCAGAATGAATTATATGTCATTCATATCGACTATTTTCTGAAGTGCTCTGCGAGATTTTGGGCAATAGTTCATATTCAGTTTAGTCGTATAAAGATAAAAATAAATGCAAATAAGAAAGGGAAATTGACAACAGTACTTCCCTAAATCGTTTCCAGAAAGGTAAAATTTCAAACAATTTACCCGAATTATGCCATGAATAAATAACCAATACACAGTCACTCGTCTCTATAGCAACCATAGAGACCCGGAAATAAATCTAATAAACTAAGTACCTCGTTATCTTTCCGCATTTAATATACTGCTTAAATAGCAGATCTGGCACCCGCAAGCAACGTCATCCCCGCGCGGTCGCAGAATCTGGAGAGCTTTTCCACAACTCTATTTTATTTCACGGGGGAAACATAGCTGCACATAGGTCTGACTGCATATGTAAGTAAGAACGTGTAATTCGATGGTTTGTGTGATAAGAAAGATACAAGGTATTGTGGCGAGGAGAGAGAGAGTGAAAAAACTGAGACTCACCACAGTGCAGAGACAAATGAGAGACAGATATTGTATTTCCTTTTCAAACATCGATCTCCACATACTGTGCATTTACCGGCAAGCATAGACCTATGGAAACAAAATGCAGTGCGTTTGCTTTTGTTTTTATGTTGATTTAATATCGAACGGTGTATGTGTCCTTCTCTACCATCTGTGGATGTGTGTTGGTTTACTGTCACTAGATGCTGTTCGTGGGAGTTTAAAAGGTGGAAATAACAGCGATGATAGTTTAATTAACTGCGAGTGCGTGGTGTTTGTTACGGTTGAATCACATCTGTTTTCAAATAATGTTTTGGCAACGAGTGAATTAATTCGCTGGTATTTATAGCATGTGGTGTAAGGCAGGAGCAGCACCACATCGACCGCTGGCTGCAGTGGGTGTCAATCCTAACCAATAGAACAAGATTAATATTGGATCTTACCTTCGTGTACCTACAGACAGAGCCTGCACCTACTGTCTCTCTGTTACACACACGCACTCACTCCCTCCTTACTTACTTATTTCTCACTCACGCTCATACACACACTCACGCAATTATTCACTTATTCATTCACATTATATGTATATATATATATATATATATAATATATATATATATATATATATATATGCATGTGTATATGTATATGCATATATATACGAGTATATACATAGACACACTCGCTTACATACACGCACACACGTGTTTGTATGTATGTGTATTTTTGTGTTAGTACAAACACGCATGATGTGGCATTATAACCATGCATCGATTGATATATGCACACGTACATAATACCGATCATTATTCTGATATTTACTTTATCAACAACTCCTAGACGTACATCAGCACCGAAGGTTCCTGTCGGCCCCTTCAGCAGTTCCTAATCTTGGAGACTGCACTCAGAACAGCTGTGTTGATTGGAGGAGGGAGGGCGAGGGGGAGAAGGGAGGGTGAGAGGGAGAGGGGTGGAGAGAAAGAGAGGTGTCGAGAGAGGAGAGAAATGAAGGGAGGGAAGGAAGAAGAAACAAGTGAAGGGCGGAAAGAGAAGGAGGGAGAATGGCTGATAGGGAAGGACGGGGAGAAGGAGAGATAAAAGGAGAGAAGGAAGTAAAGAAAGGGAGAGAGGAAGGAAGGGAAATGGAGATAAGTAAAGAAGAAATGGAGGGAGAAAGGGGCACCGCTAGGAACGGAAAATGGAAGACCGAAATGGGGTGCAGAAATGATAGCCAAGAAATAGAATAGACAGAGTGAGACTTTAAGCGAGGAACAGGGAGAGGGAATGAAACAACGTGAACAGACAAGGGCCAAGAAGACGACCATCGCCATAACTCGGTCTTTGTCATGGGAGGCAGTATCACAAAGCCCAGCAATTGCATTTTATCATTGCACCTCAACGCAGAGACCGGGTTGCCATAACTGCGTGAATTTTCTGTGCCTTGTCGCAAATGCCAAGTGTAACGATTTCAGTTCCGTAAAGGCGACGGTTCACTTTGTAATCACCGAGACGGCTTTCTTAATTACACTCATTAATTGAGTGTATTGTGGTTGAGATTGCCCGTGTGTCCGGGGATTTCGCATTACAAAAAGGCTCTAAGTAAACCAGAGGAAAAATATTTATATCTTTTAGTAAGCAATGCAGGTAGGCGAGGGATGCACGCAGGATTTCAACACAAAGTGCGGCCGTGCTTGAATACAGTATATTCTCGACCCAAGCACAGACGGTATATCCTTTGTGTTGTGTGTATGGTGTGTTATTTCATCACGTGTAAGTCACGTGATGATCGGGAATATTCTGGGGTCGTGATGGGTTGCCAAACGTTTCTATCAAGTCACGCTGTTGGTGTTGGTTGCTGTTATTATTTTTGTTGGTGTTATAGTTGTCATTCATATCATCATTATCATTGTCATTATTATTATTATTATTGTTGGTGTTGTTGTTGTTAATGTAATTATCATCGTCATCATTATTATTGCTGTTATTATCATCATCATCACTATTATTATCAATTGTATCATCATTATTGTTATTATTATTATTGTTTTTGTCGTTGTTACTATAACGGTATAGTAATTATGATAACAATAACCATTAGCAGTAGGAATAGTAGTTTGTTGTTCTTGATGTTATTATTGTTGTTATTATGTGATGTGTTATTATCATATTTCTTCTTAATATTTTCATCATCATCACCATTATTGTGGAGATAATGGTGACTATATTTGTTTATTATTTTTAGTGCCACTGCTATTTTTATCATTACCATCATCATGATTATTGTTTTCTTGTTATAGTTTTTGCTCCTATGGTTCTCATTACTGTTATTTCTAAATATCATAATTATTATTATTGTCATTAGCATCACCTTCACTATCATTTTTCATTATTCAGAGATGAACACAGCATTATCAGTGAGGATTTGTCGTTATTTTGTTGTTATTACGTTCATTATTATCACTGATGTCGTCTCCAGCGTTATCACTTATCCTTATTAGTCATTTTCGTCGTCATTGTTTACAGCATCAGGATTGCCAAGTTGCAATCATTCTTTTAGTTTACTGACATATATGTATAGTAACTTTATATACAGCATATATATAGATGTGTGTGTATATATATATAATATATATATATATATATATTAAGTATATATATATATATATATATATATATAGTAATGTATGTTGTGTGTGTTATGTGTGTGTGTATATGTATATATATATATATATATATATAATAAATATATATATATATAGTATATATGTATGTATTATACATATATTAACATATATATATGTATGTATATTATATATATATATATATATATATATATATATATGCACAACACACACACACCACACACCACATACACACACACACACAACACACACACACACACACACACACACACACACACGTGTGGTGTATATATGCATTTGTATATATACATATACATATATATATGTAAATATTATATATATATATTAATATATATATATATATATGTATGTATATACTGTATATCTATAGAGGTATATTTATATACATATATTTTTTGTATGTTTGTGTATTTGAGTGTGTATGTATATATATATATATATATATATATATGTATATATTATATATATATATATATATATATATATATAATATATATATTATATTATATTATATATATTATATATATTATATATATATGTGTGTGTGGTGTGTGTGTGTGTGTGTGTGTGTGTGTGTGTGTGTGTATGTGTATGTGTGTGTATGTATTTTATATATGTATTTATATATATATTTATTATATATTGTATGTATGTATGTGTATATATGTGTTGGTGGGTAGGAGTGTGGGTGTGTGTTTATGTAAATGTGACTTTGTACGGCTGCCTCTGCCGTTATGTTCTTGCTTTTGTTTGGCATTTTATGGTGCTAGAGCTGCTACGGGCCGATGATTGCGTATTACGTGGACATGGCAGTGATTTCCCTGTGAGATTGACGGAACCGAAATACGAAAACTCACCCCAAAACCAAATGATAATAAGGGTCATAATTTCATAGAGAGTACTGCAGGACGAACTAAAAAGAGAAGTGAAATACGATCTATGACATTGGACACGGCGGCCCTATGTGGTGTGTGCGTTTCTCATGTGCGTGCAACCCCTCCCCCCTCTCAACAGACACGTACACGCAGAAACACACATACCGGCACAGAGATACACCCCCTTATGTGTGTACTCGGGCTTTGCATAATGATACAAACATACATGTACACATACATACGTATACCTACATAGACCTACATACACGGGCGAAAGACAGTCATTATCATCATAATGATAATGTTTATAGTAATAATAATAATGTGTGTGTGTGTGTTTGTGTGTGCATGTGGGTTTGTGTGTGTGTGTGTGTTTGTGTGTGCATGTGTGTGTGTGTACGTGTGTGTGTTTGTGTGCTAATGGGTTAAATTACCTCCTATAACCCAAGGAAAATGTCGACGGCCATATTGAAGGACCTGAACGTGTTTTTGGTCGGGAACCTAAGACCGACTGGGGATCCGGGGCAGTAGACCACTTTTTAAAACTTTTTAATCCTTTTTTTCATCCTTATTGCAATAGTCATTTCTTTAACCTGTTTCTTCCTCATGGCTCGCAACGCTTACAAGAGGAAAAACATATAAGCCGTTATTTTTTATTTTTTTATCTTCTTTCGTTTCTTTTTTCTCTTTCTTTTCTTTTCTTTTTTTTTTTTTTCTTTTTTTCTTTTTCTTTTTTTTTTTTTTTTCTTTTCTTTTTTTTTTGCCGATTTTTTTTGCTGGCCCGGGTGGTTTCAGCGGCCATGTTGTTGTTGCTACTGCTGTTCCTCGTGGCATCTTATCACTGGACCCGCCATCGCGCCACGGTTCAATGTCCTTTCGTCCAAACCATATCTCTTGGCGATAACCCCTCCCCCTCCATTTTTTTCCCCTTCCTCTCTCTCTCCATTTCCTACTTCATATTCTCGTGTCTTCCGTCCTCCCTGCCTCTCTTGGTCTTTCGTTCCCTCAATTTCTCTCTCCCACACTCTCCTTCCTCTTACTTCTCTTCCTCCTCCCTTCCTTCCTTATTCCTCTATTCTCTCTTTCTCGCTCCCTCCCCCGGTCGCCAAGGCCACAACAATGAAGGTTCCTGTTTTGCATGCGACCGAAAATGCAAACAGATGAGGCTGCTTTCCATTATTCATTATCTACTTCTAAAAGCATTTATTAAAGAAAAGAGCTACAGGTCTTCAAAGTCATCAAATCATCTTAGTTCTTATTTTCTTATTTTCAAGTGAAAGTATTCTCTCTAAAAAGCATGACAAGAGAATGGTTTTTCAAAGCCATCAAATCAAATGTTGGGTATTTATTAAAAAGGATTTTTTAATAT